TGGTGGTCGTGTTGATGTTGATGGTGGCGGTTGTACCGATGTTGTTGCTGGTGGTCGTGCTAATGTTGATGGTGGCGGTTCTACTGATGTTGGTGTCGGTACTGGTGATCGTACTGATGTTGGTGTCGGTATTGACGATCGTACTGGTACTGGTGTTGATACAGTAGACTGACTATTTTTTTCTCTAACATCAGTATCCTCTCGTCGATCATCTTCACGAAGTTCGCATGACATAGTAGATTCTCGTTCACGTACAGGTAATAATCGTGTTAATTCAGTAATAATTTCTTGATTATTTGCGTTGGTTGCTAAATCTAAAGCTGTTTTACCATCAGCATTTCGTAAATCAAGTCGAAGTGGATTATTATGTAAATTATATTCATCAAATTTTCTTACATCACCATAACGAACTAAATGATGTATAAAATAATTTGAACAGTATGGTGGTTTTTCATTTATTAATGTTCGATCTTTTTCTAACATTGCATCAATCATTGGCCAATCATCTTTTTTACATGCTTCAATAAATGTATCTTGATCAAATAAACGTTTAATATATTGATATTGATCTTTATAAAATTCTTGTCGTTCGTTAGCTATATCAAGAATAGTTTTTGGTTTTGGTTTATCATTTGTTGTTGAACGTATATTTATTGGATTTTTTTCATTGTATAATTCTAATAAACGTTTAAATAATTGTAGATTACCATGATAAATTATTTGATGTCCAATAGACCAAATACGATTAGGTGATATGAGAAATAAATCATTTGGATGTAGACGAATATATTCATATACTTGATCCCATATTGTTGCATCACCAGTAAATCCATTTTTAACTTTTAAATAGACTTGATCGTATGTAGGTGAAGCATTTGCCATCTAAAAAAAGATGAAAAAAAAATTAATATCATGATTAAATTGAAAGTCATTGATAAATAAATAAATTCTATTATTATTATTATTATTATTATTATTTGTATTATTTTTTTTGTTTTTCATAAAGTTCACTTAATGCTTGTTTGATCACCATATTGGGTACAAAACTTGTTCAAAAAACTTCATGTTCTACTTTTTTTTGTTTTTACTCTTATTCAAAACTTTCTTTTACAAAAATATTCTACGTTCATTTTTGAATGATTTCTCAAGTGTAACATTCGTTAACTCAATATTTGTCATAGGCGAACGTCGATTACCTAAATCAAGCCATTGTTGTATTGCTGATCTTTCATATGTAAAGCCATCAGATAAAACAACAGGATCATGAAATATTTCTTTTGTTAATGGACATGTAAAACAATCTAACATATTATTACCACCTGTTGTTAGAATTTCTTTTTCAACTTGTTCATCACGTTTAATTTTTGCTTGATTACGTTTATCTTTTTCTTTATCATGTTGTTCACGTATAGCACGCATCTCTGGTGATAAGGATTCTAAATAAGTAGCGAATCTTGTATGATTATGTTCAATTGCAACTTCTGATGCCGTTTTTTTATCATTTGTTAATAATTTCATATCAAAATTACACATACTACGAAGTTGATCGAAGGCGTTTTTATTATCAGCAAAAGCTAAATGATGAATTAAATAATATTTTCTATATGGTGGTTTTAGATTAGCTAAATCTTCATCTTGTTGAAGCATTTTTCGACATTCATTTATTTGATTATTTTTTCCATATTCAACAAATTTATCCATTATAACAAGACGGTCTATTGTATCATATAATTTTTTATGAGTACTAGATTTTGTTTGATTTTCATTTGCTATTTGAAGAATATCTTTTTGTGGTTTTGTTGCAGTTTTTGTTAAAAGAATAAAACGTATATTTGGTATGGCTATAACTTTATTAAATAAATCCAATAAGCCATACATAACAAGATAATGAAGAATTGAATAATTATCATTATCTGGTATTAATGTTAAATACTCTGATTTAGCTAATAATGTACGATAAATAAGATCATATTGTGTTTTGTCATTACGTTTTACAATATCATAAATATCTTCAAATGCTAATGATTCTCGATTATTTAAAGTAGATGATGCCATTATCTAGAAAAAATAAATAAATCAAAAAGAATATGTTTCTTCTTTTTTTTTAATTAATAGAAAAAATTCTGAGTATTTTTAAAAATTAAATTTATATCACAGATGGTATCAAAATTTACAAAAAAAAAGAATCAATTCTTCATTCTCTGTGCTTATTGAAGTAAAGAAAAAATGAATAGAAATAATAATCAGAACTTAAGATTTAAGATTAAGAGCATTAATAATTTGTTTAATCACTGTATTTGGATTAAGATCTTTATTAGGAAGTTTTTGATTTGTCATTGGTGAACGATCATTATTTTTAAGCCAAGTTGTAATTGCTGAACGTTCATAGGTAAATCCATCAGCAGCAATCACTAATGAAGAAATAGATTTTATTTTATTTAAAAAAAAGTAATAATAATTTAATTCTAATTAATAGTGAATAATCATTTTATCCGAGAAAATTCAAGCTTTAAAAATTATTTATTTCAAATGTTTTTACTATTCAAATAAACTCATTTGAATTGCTTATTCAATCTAATTAGTCAGATATCTAAACTGAAGAATAATTTATCAAACTGAGATTTGTTTATTCCATTTTATTATTGCAAAGATAATATCTCTGTTTTGTTTTACGAGGGAACATTCCCAAATGTGACTCGTCAATAGAATCTGTCAAGTCCAAGAATTTTGGACCTGATGAGCTGTAGTCGTCTGAGAAATGTGTAAAGTATGCTGGTCACTGAGAACAAAATCTCGAAAAAAGTACCTTGTATCTTCACAGCGACTATCCAATTCTGATTAGAAAATTTCATTGAGTATCAAAGTACGGTTCAACCGAGAGTCCGAACATTTTAGACCCAATGAGTTCTAATGAGACTAGTAGAAATCTGTAAGAGTTCGTCTTCATGCACTGTCTTTCCAAAGTAATTACAATTTTATTTTATTTTTTTTATCTCTGACAAGGTATTTGTGAAATAATCGAATTATGAAATTCTAACCTAAAATTTTGCCCATAGGTAGGTCTCGTATACTTTAGAATGTCCTGAATATTGAAAACACTGGACTTTCTGACCTTTTCTTGTGACAGATGATTATTTTTCGACATTTAATATCTCAAGAAGGAGACATCCCTTTAGGCTGAAAATTTCAGAACATGCGAAGGTCTATAAGACCTACCATTAGACAAATTTTCAGGGTGAAATTCTGTACTTTGATTTTTTTCACCAACACTTTGGCAAAGATGAAAAAATCCAATAAAACTTTAATAACAAATGCATAGGAATGGACCCTTGTAAGCTTCCATTTGTCTTAATTATGAATAAAATATCAGTTTTATTTGCGCGTTACACTTAAGAACTTTCCTCTCGTTAGTGCGTCGTTTTGTATATGCAATATACGAGCTCAGCAAAAATGTTTGTTCATTCTGTTTAGTAGATAAAAACTAAGCGAAAACTCTTTTTTTTTTCATGAAGTTTACCTGGATCAATAAATACAGTAAGTGTAAGAGGACACGTAAGATTATCAATCAACATTTCTGGATCTATGTCTTTTTCAGTTTTCGAAGCTTGATTACTTTTGTTTTTTAGTTCATTTTCTTGTTGAGTTCGTATTTCATTCATATGTAGCATTACTTCAGCTCGATTCTTCATTTTAATTGGTTCACCCATAAGATCATTATCTAAATCTTTGACTATATTTTTTTGTTCCATCACAGCATTTATAGTATCTGTACGTTTTTTAGCTTCTTCTGATGCTTTATATAAATCATTAAAAGTAGAATCATCTTTATCTAATAAACTTGGATAAGATTTTTCAATATAATCAGCAAATTTTGGTTGCTTTTCTTCTCGAGCAATAATATTAATTTTTTTTCTATCAGCTCGTAAATTTAAATTAAATATACAATTTTTAATTTCTTTAAAACGTTCAAATTGTTCAATAGCATTTGCACATGCCATATGATGAATTAAATAATAACGACGATATGGTGGTTTTTCATTAACAAAACTTGGATTTTCTTTAATTATTTCATAACATTTATCCCATTCACAATCTTTAGCATAATTAAGCATTTCATCAAGTTTAATTAATTGTTGAATACGGTTTTTCATATCTGGTGTATCTGTACGAAGCGCAGTTATAGCTAATATAGTGTAATTATCACGTGTATTAGTTAATAAACGAAAATTTTTATTGGATTTTTGTAAAGCAAGTAATTGATCCAAATGATTAACATTACCAGAGAGTATAATTTGATGTAAAATTGCCCATTTTCGATCTTCCGGAATCATAGTTAACCATTCCGGATGAAGACTAACTGCCATGAGAACATCGGGAAAATTTTGAAAATTTCTCGCATTATCAATTGCTTTTTGTAAAAATTCTGTTTCATTCATAATTTATTCAAATATAAATCTGAAGATAAAAAAAGAAAAACAAAAGAAATTACTTGATTTACAAGAATTATTTATTACAAATATCAAAAAAAGAAGAAAATATCGGATGCATCCTTT